CCTTATAAGCAAAAGCACAAATTTAGAAATAACAATAGACAGTTGACTGATATTTGTGTTCAGTATTCTATTCAGTTGTTATTGTGGGGCAAATTCAAAACCTTTCTCTTCTTACTGGTTCTAATTTTCACAGTTGGTTTGGATTCCAAACTCATTAAAAAGAAAAAGGGTTCTTTGGTAGGTAGCCAGATTGAAATTTTGACATTCTATTCTGGGTGCTGTGGTTGTGGGCAATTTGTGGAGGCTCACAAATTCATAAAAGGGACTTTAATCAGCATGAAAGATGGTTTGCTAGGCTGGAGTGCCCACTGTTCAGTGGCGCATCTTCTGTGCTACAAATTTCTCATGGGATTGACTTTAGCATGAATCATTCTTTCTATCATAGGATCTAATGCTGATTGTTTGCTCAGCCAATTAAAAACTGATACTTTTATGTAACTATTGCCTTTTGTTGTCATGTTCATTTTTACTAGGATTTTAAAATAATATTGTATAAACTGCTCTGCTGGTATAAGAGAGGTAGAAAAACATTGTTAATCAAACCAACAACAAAGGATCATCTGATTGTCTTTTAAATATGGGCCCCGAGGCCACCATATTTTAAAATTCTATGAATATGGTAAACTTGAGCATTTGTCCCCTCTTAGCCTAACGCTCCTCAAGGACTGTTTGCAGAAATATTTTTTTTAAAAAAATCTTTCCTAAACATTTTGTAGCAATTCAAATAAATTGAAAGTGCCATTTATTTTTTTAAAAAATAGGCATTATTTTGCAATTTAGGCAGGCATTGGTACTCAGTGTTCAAATTTGAAAAGAAAAAAAACCCTCTAGACTTCAAGGTTAACCAGACTGTATTCATTCCATTTTACATTTTCAATCCCCTCAGACAGGGAACAATGAAAGGAGAAATGAAATGCAATGGGGGGGGGCATTTAAAATATTGCACTTCTTCTCCTTTCCTTCTAAGGATAATGCCATCAGCTGTCCTTTATGCTGCCTTCCTATTCCAAGATATTAACCTTTATTTCACAGTGTTGTCTCTCACTGAAAATGAGATTGTGGCAAAGCGTTCAAAACAGTTTTTATTTTCATGATAGTAACTTGTTACCAAATGACTGGCAGATGAAAAGGAGATTTTTGTTGGCAATAGATTTTTGAAAATAATGCCTTGAACTTTTCCTGGCTGTTTAGTCACTCACTCTCATTCTCAGCCATTTAAAGCATATCAAACGTGAAGAAAGAAAAACAATTTAAAGGGATTAGGATAAGATAATTAATTAAGCACCACTTCTTTCATGTAACTTTCCCAGTCTAAACTTCCTTTTTGCTATTTTTTCCTTTAAATAATGCGATACCTAAGCATTCCCCCCCCCTCCCCGGTTACTTCAAAACATTTTGTTCTGATTTTAATTAAAAAGGAGCTTGCAATTCCCAGGTGTATCTCAAGATTTGACCCCCAGATTATTTTGATACAGGGTTTCATTTAATATGCTATTAAATTGATTAGAATGTTCTCACCAGTGGTGGGCGGCAGGTGGTATGCCCCAGTATGGGCATACTGGAGCCTGCCCAGAGCCCCAGTACCCTTCCGGTACAGTGCTTCGGAGGGCCCACCCACCCACCCGAGCTCCTTACCGTGTTTTAAAGCTGTTGGCGCTTCCGCATATGCACATGGTGTGTATAGCGCCTGCGAGACACTCCGCCGAGCAGCTGGAGCGTCGTGGAGGCTTATGGAAGCATAGTTTCCAGTTACAATGCATGCACACGTGTGTGCATGTGGGTGATGCCAGGGCTGTTCCAACCTTACCGGTTGGAACGAAATCTGGAGCCCACCACTGGTTCTCACTGATAATATGGTATATTTTGTTTTTCTTCTACATTAAACAGAAAGAGCAAAAGAGATTGGAATGGTCTTTTGAACTATTCCTGAAGGAAAAGTATCTGCAGCTGACCACAATTTTAGATACATAACAACACTGCCTGAAAGAGAGATATTTATTCATCAAACCTCTCAGGGATAAGCGGTGGTATTCAGACGGTTCAGACTTGTTCACCCAAGCTGTAGTAGAAATCATGGGTGCCCCCCCCACCGCCCCGTTCTATGCCGTCCTATTTTGGCATGCTTTCAAGCAAAAGAGCATGCATAGAAGGCATAGAGTGTGCATATGCGTGTGTTCACATTTGCGAACCAGTAGGGAAAGTAAGTGAATACCACCCCAGGATAAGATATAAAAGAGACTAGTGAGATAACCCACCTAATAATATCTGAAAATTAATTTGGGATCTATGTTTATTTTTTCCTAACAAATTGGAAAATGCTATTCTAGAATACAATGGAAAAGCTTGTAAAGGAACATTGGAATTGATCTCAGTCTCTTCTTTAATACTATCCACTACCCCAAGTCTTGTGCAGGTAGTCCTTGTCTTATGACCATAACTGGGACCAGAATTTCCATTGCTAAGCAAGGTGATTGTTAAATGAGTTGTGCCCATTTTACAGCCTTTTTGTAAACCACAGTTGTTAAGCAAATCACTGCAGTTGTTAAATGAATCACAGGGTCATTGTCAAGTGCCAGGGAAATCAGGAGATCCAGGCAGTTCAAATGAGTATAAAAATTTATTGCAAGCTTAATCTCTCTATAATAGGGGTGTCAAACTTGCGTCGTCACGTTGTTGACATATGATGTATCACAACTTTTTTCCTATCCACTAAAACAAGGGTGGACGTGGCCCATTGGATGCCAGTTTGACACCCTTGCTCTACAAGAATCTGAACTATTGACGGTCCAACCAAAAGGGCGGTTGATAAGAATCAATGGAGATCAAGGTGGGCTGGCCTTAGATCTCTTGTGGCTACAAAGGGATTCGAGACTGATGACACATTTGACCCCTCCCTCATGCTCAGCCTAGTCATCGCCTGCAGTAATAAACTAATCTAGCTTCCCCCATTGACTTGTTTGTCAGAAGCCGGCTGAGAAAGTTGCAAATGGCAGTCACTTGAATCCAGGATGTTGCATTGACATAAATGCAGTTAGTTGCCAAGAACCTGAATGTTGATCATGTGACTTTGGGGAGGCTGCAATGATCATACAGTGCTAGGACTGGTTGTAAGTCACTTTTAATTCCAGACAGTCTCTAAATAAGTGATTGTAAATCAAGGACAATCCATGTAGCATTTTATACATATTGTCTAACCACAGCAGTAATTGTATTATTAAAATAGTATTGTTATTACATGTTTTCTATATTATATGGGAGTGTGAGGTTGTTTTTATTAATTAGCCAGAAAAAAAGAAAAAGGAAACACACCAAAATGTATCAAGTAGGCGCTATTTGAACAGCTTTACAGAAGACGTAGTCAAAGATATCTGAGTATAGATTAGCATACAATAGAACAGCTGTGGTATTTGCTAACTACTGAGGTTCTGAGACAGATAAGACGTGCTAGGAACCATTTTGCAATATCTTTCCCCCAGGAGTGGGGTGGGAATGGGGATTTTGCAGTATCCTCCCCCTGCCATGTCCACCAAGCCACACCCACAGAACTGATAGTAAAAAAAATGAATATCACCACTGCTGGAATTTCTTTTATTTCCATCCATCTGAGTTTTATTCCTTACTTGCTTTTCTTCCTTCCACAACCCACACTTAGCATACAAACACAAGGTAGAAGCAACCCATCCCTGTATGTCTGAATGTTGCTAAGCAATGTTGACACTACATGTTCTTATTATAGAATTTAAGATTTATCATGCAGATTCCTCTTTTCAAAAGGCCATATAGTCCATTCATTTCTGCATACTCTCTTCGAAGCATCATTTACATTTAACACGATTTTGACTATTTAATGAGAGAGAGAAATGGGACAAGAATCACTTTTAAGTAAAGATGACCTTTTTACCAAGGCATTACTGGTAGTGACTATGTCAAAACAATTTTAAAATGGAAGTCTGTTGAACACTTTCTCTGATGTAAGCCTCCTTGG